GTGAGTTGACGGCCCCGGAGGCTGGGAAGTGGAGTCGTCCCCCTGGCCCGCGGCCGGCAGGCGCTGGAGTGAGTCGGAGGCAGGTCTGCACTCCTGTTAAGCCACAGGCCTCGCCAGCCACACCACCACCGCCTTCTGACGACACCACAGTCACCGCAGCCTCCGGAGCGGGGTCCACAGTCCAGGCCCTTACGTCCAGTCGCCCCCGGGACAGGAGTTCCTGGAAGGGTCGTTTGCCTCCCTTTTTGTTCCAGTCGGCAGTCCCCCTTAGAAAGTTAGTGGACCCCGCTTCTCCGACTCGCTCCTAATTCGGGTCTCAGCCCGCAGGAAGACGGTCCGGGTCTAGGTTGCTGCCGGTACCAGCCAGTCGGTCCTCAGGCTAAGGAAAAAGCCCTTTTCTCTTACTGCTCCCCGACCCCAACAACACACAGACCCGAGCCAAACTTTTGCGTATAGAGTGGTTCCGAATTAGCTCCTTTAGAGACCAAATTCTCCTCCTCAGTGTACTCCTTCCAACGCGTCCAGGGAAGGTTACCATATTATTATTATTAAGCTCCATCATTATTTCTATTATTTTGCAAGACTCCCCTGGCTGTGGCAGATCGCCATCTGTTCATATAAACATACATTTTGCAAATACATTTCTGTAAGACTAGAGAGAGGCAGTTTCTGCCTTGCTCCGTTGGTTTCCAATTAAATATTTTTTTTTCTCTTTCTCTCCTCTTTTCCTTTCCTTTTTTTCCTCTTCCTTTCCTTTTCCTTCCCCACAAACCATATGTTCTTTATTGCGAAACCGCTCACAGTTCCCCAAGGGCCCCCTCTGCTCCAGGGGCATGGCAGGGACAGACCCCCTGTCGTCGCTGGCCCACACATTTCAGTACATCCCTTTCCTAAAGCCGAGCTCACCCTGCCCGAGTTGTTGATGGGGAGAAGAGCGGCGCCAAGGATTTTGACCAGTGACTGTGGAGGTGCCCCCCACCCCACCCCAGCGACCTTAGTTAATGCTGTGGTGGTAGCTCTGCTCCTCGGCTTTGCCCCACATATCCACCAGCAGGCAACACTGCCTCTGGCCAGGTAGCCCAGGGCCTAAAGTCTGGAGGCTTTTTGTAGGACTCGGGGTCCATCGGCTGTTGTCCCCCTGTATCCTGCCTGCCCAGCAGCTCAGTCAACCAACCCCTAACCCTCCACTCCTTCGCCCCCGTGTGCCCATCCCTTCCTCAGCGAATCTCCCACCAGACCCAGGAAGCCTTAGCCACCATCTTACTCTCTCTCTCTCTCTCTCTCTCTCTCTCAACTTAATATTATTTTGCACACGGGTTATAATTCCCGGTCAAGACTTTCACCCTCCTGGAAGAAAGGTCAGTCCTGGGAAGTCTGGAGGAGTTCATGAACGGATCCCTAAGTGAAGAGGGCACACAGAGGAAGAAGCCTTTGGGATGTGGCTTCTCCAGATTCGCACCCACTTGGTAACCAAGAATTAAGCACAGTCGTTTAGGCTTCGACTGTCAGTCCGATCTTTGTTACTTCAAACACCTCTGAAGCGTGTGGGTGGGTGGATGGGGGAGGTAGACAAGAGTCAACCGCAACTGTTTCCTCCTTCATCCCACTTGTTGCAGAGCTAATTTATTCTATTTTTGATCCCGGAGACTCTCAGATTTCATTTTATAAACGTGCGGGTGTCGGGGATGGACATGAGGATTAGTCACAAGATTGTGGCAGGGACTTCCCTGGACGCATTTGAAGTCCGCTGTGAGCCCCAGTGCCGATGAGCAAACCTGGGATCTGTTGCTGGTACTCATTTGTCTAATGAGTGGCTGTGCTGGGGCCAAACTGAGCCCCTGGACTTGGTAGTCCAATGGCTCCCAGCTGGGGCAAGTGGTCTGGATGGAGACTCTTGCTGTCCGCGGTTGGAAGAGGGTAGTTTTGGCTTCCAGACATGTCTGGGGGTGGGAGGGAAGTAAAGGGAAGCCTAAAGCAAACCTTTAAACCTCTGGGAATTAGGGATTGCCCCAGACCCTGTAGTAGGTGGGCTTCTTCAAAGTCTGTTTTGCCTGGTTTGGTTTGGCAGGGTGGGTGTCCCTGTCAGGGGAACCTCAGCCAACAGCACCGCCTTGGCCTCCGAAGTGGCGCTTCGACCCAGCAGCTGCGTCCACTCAGTGGCCTCAGAACCCCTGCGGCCTGGTAGGTGGAGGAGAGTGCTGGGCAGGTGAGAAGAAAAACTCAGCCATCTCCCCCGCCCTCCCCCACTCTCTCTACCTCTGAGCTTCTGTTTTCCTAGCAGGTGGAGAGGGGTCCCAATCCACTGCAGCACTGCCACTCAACAGCTGTCCAACAGGCAGGACCTCAGGGGAAGCCTCCCAGGGGCCTTTCCAAACCCAGAAAGGAATCTGCAGCCACCCATTATAAACAAGATACCCTTGCTGGCTCCCAGGCAAGATCAGACCCCTGGAGAGCTAGGGTCATGCCTCTGAAGTCTGGAACTCAAAAAACAGAGGGGACTCAGCCCCAGAGAGCTCTAACTCTCAGGAGGAATCTCTTTTCACTGGGTGTGCAGCCTGAATTCACCCCCTTGAATTACACCGTGGGTGCCTAGTCCTCCCACCGATTAAAGCTGATGGGACAAAGTGTTAAATCCAGCTCTGCTCAACTTTGGGAAGGTGAAAAACTTGAGAAAGTCTGCCTCCTCCGACGCTACAGATGCGAGGTGGTTTAGAAAACAAGTTATACAGACTTTGAAGTCCAGAAAAAGGAAGTGAGAAAGTTCCCCCCCACACACACATACAAACACCCTTGACAAACTGAATCATTTTATATAAAACCTGGTTAAGCAGCTCTCCCGGCAAACAGCTTCTGGGCTTTCCACTGTAACACAAATGCTCCTCCCCAAGTGTGGGTGGGTGGGGGTGGGGTGTCCAGACATTTTCTGGAGTCCCCAGAGGCCCGTCTCGGCTGCTCCCAGGGTCAACCAAGTCTTTTTACTTCAGGGTGTGTGTGTGGGGGTGCAGAGAACTAGCCAGCATTCCCTACTGGGAGTGAACTCTTAAAGGGCCAGCTCATGGACTTTGAACAGCTATGTGCACCCCCCTTGGCCCCCAGTGTTGGGTTTGCCTTAATTAGGGGGTGGGCAAGTAGGATTGGGGGGGGGCTGAGTTCACGTCAAAACTGTCAAAGGAGATGGCGGGGAAGAGGAACATAGAGAGAGGGGTGGAGGAAAAATTCAAATATCATAAAAGGAAAAAGGGGAACTTGAAGCCCAGAAGTCATTGTTTCCTTTATTTCAAAGGGAAAAAACCTGCCTGATTCTCATCCTTTTGATTGATTAAGGCCCTGAATACCTCTCAGCCCCAGAGTGACAGTCCCTGAATAGACTTGAGGGAATAAAGAGCAGTGCAGAACGCAGGGCTGGCACTCGGGGGGGGGGGGGGCGTGTAAAGGAGGCGAGTTCGCTGGCACTTACCAAGTTATAAATAAAAGGCTACGCACAATGGTACCTTCTCTAAGGACAGACAGTCTTTACAACACTCCCGGCGTCATATCCTGCTGGGGACACTTCAGCTCCTAGCCAACACTTTGCTCCTTTTATTTTTCCAGCAGTTTAGTCTGAATGCCATAATAAATTCCTGAGAACAAACGCTGCACCCGGGCAAAACCTCAACATATAGATGCGTGTGCATTGGGGATAAATCTGTATGTGGAGATTTAGAGTCCCGACTTCCCAGAAGGACTTTTAAACCAAGAAAAGGAGCTGGCTTCCCCCATCCCAGCTTGCAACTTGTAGCCCAGGGGAGCCTAGCCATGTCTGGTCTAAGTCTAAGGCTACTCCACCTAACCCCAGTCTCAGCCAAAGGCAGACAAAAGAACCTTTTGGGCACATCCTGGACTCTCCCCGAGAGGAGCCTCTCTGGCAGGCTCACACGGCAAGCTCAGGCCCAGGGGCAGACCAGAAAGAGGAATACCAAACACATCCGGGACTCCCCGTGCCCCTTCACCCCCACCCCAGTGTTAGTCACCCCGAAAAGAAATCCACAGGTAAAAAGCAGAAACAGGCAGAGAAAAGAAGAGTTGGACGCAACAAAGTTCCCAGGGAGAGACGCAGAAAGACACTGGGACGGACAGACAGGAACAGAAAACCGAGGAGCTCAGAGGGACGCCACACGTGGAGTGGCAGAGACACGGCGACCCTCCCTCTCCATCCTCACGGCTCTCGTCACCCAGGCTGCCTTTCCCAGTTTCAATCTGTCCACCCTTCTCTCTCGGGGGAAGGGGCACAGAGCTGGTCCCCCTCCTGGGTCGGCGGAAGCCTGGGCACCGTCAAGGATGGGAAGAGAAAGTAGCCTCTGTCGCCCAATCAGCGCGTGTCTTCGCCACCCGGGACGGTCTCCTCGTCGGCCAATCGCAGCTCAGGGCTCCTGACCAAGCTTTGGGTGAAAGAACTAATAAATGCTCCCTGAGTCCGGATCCCTGCACTCGGTGTCACAACGGGAGGAGACTTGGGGACGCGCTCCCGTCTCGTCACCAACCTCCCACCCCCCCATCCCCCGAGCTTCGTGGCGCCCTGAACATCCTTGCCAGTGGCCCCGGCTGAGGGGCCCGACCAGCCAGACTCGCACCAAACTTGTCGGCCCTGGGCTTTAGGATCCGGCACTCTAGGGACTCCTCCGGAGCCGGTGGACTTGGCGCTCACAGCCCCCCTCCCTGCCTCCGCCCCGCC